GATGATAGTGGCATTAGCTAGTTTTGTGGTTAGCTAGTCTATGATGAGCCATAATTTAGCAATGGATAACATCATACTGCAAATTGTAAAGCATACTGTACATTTTCAATATAACAGACCAAGGAGAGATGATTGAAGCATTAAATAGTCATTTATCGGCCATCATGACTGCCTATACCGATATTTTGGAAAATGCCTAATATCGGCCGATAATATCGGTCGGGCTCTAATCCATACAGCGTCTCTTTTATTAATATATATCTGCAGGCAGATATAGATGAAAAATTGCTTGAACACTGTTAATTGAAATGCATGATACAAAATCGTGTGACTGCCCCTTAACAATTTTTTGTTGGGATTTGGTGTGTAAGAACAGAAAATATTTTTGTTATTGCAGTTGTTATTTTTGTTTATACTTTAAAGAGCAGCATTAAGTTATCATTACATTATGCAATGTTCATTAATATTTATGCTTTTGTTGTATTTCTAGCCTTAGATGGCCAAGCTTCAGGATGTCAAACCTCCTCAGCCAATCAGGAATCTCGCTTCAGATATCTAGCCAATCAGTTGGCCAGCTTAGCTTGCTGCAGAAATTCTCTTTATTGCGTCTCACAGCTGTGATGGAAAAATACTCCATGTCCAACAAGCACGGGTGGACTTGGTGAGTTGCCTACAAACAAATTTGGGAATGATCATTAGGATCATTCTAAAAAAAAAAAAAGTACAATGAGTAAGAATGTGACATCAAGGATTCAGCATCATAGCGTACACTACCATTTATGGCATCCTGGCCAAATTTTCCCATTGAATCATCCCCATACACACTGATTGGCTTCATCACTCAGTTAGCTGGTGTGTGGTGTGTGTTCTGGTGCACTATGGCTGCTGTCGCATCATCCAGGTGATGCTGCTTCACATTGATGGTGTTTGAGGAGATTCCCCCTTCCATATGTACATAGAAAAGCGCTTTATAAATGTAACAAATTATTATTATTTAAAAGTTGGGGGTTGGTGATTTTTTTTTTTTTATTATTTGAATATTTATGCCCACCAAGGCTGAATTTATTTGTTCAGAAATAAGTAAAACCAGTAATTGTAATATATTTTAAAATGTATTTTATTCCAGTGATCTCAAAGCTGTATATTCAGCATTGATGTTGATGTTTGATGCTCAAGAAACATTTCTTAGTACTATCAATGCTGAAAACAGTTGTTCTGCTTACTATTTTTGTGGAAACTGATGCATTTTTCAGGATTTTTTTCTTTGACTAATAGAAAGTTCAAAAGAAAAATGAGAAAAACTAAACCTTGCTGAATACAAGTATTAAGTCCTTTAAAAAAATTACTGACCCCAAACTTTTGAATGGAAGTTTATGTACAGTACATAAGTCAAGGGTGTTTTAAAGCAACAAGATAAGTCAGACTTGGAAAGTCCCTGTGGGTGTCGTTGGGGTTTTCTACTTATCAGTTATTTGCTCTTATTGAATGACACTCAGATCAAAGTGTTTCCTCAGTCAAGTGAATCATGTGTTAAAACTCCAGAGCTTATCCAGTAAATCACAGTTCTGCACTCTTCCATTCGCATGATATATCACGACTCCTAGACACACAGACAGACTGTACCTTTATATACATACATATGGACATAAACTGATCTCCTCTTCTTAATACTGTGCATATATATATATATATATATATATATATATATATATATATGTTCTTAGGTCAGTGCCAAAATTTATGAAGAGAATGAAGGGACCAGACTACAAGGATAAGGTGGTTTTCGGCGTTCCTCTGATTGTCCACGTCCAGCGGTACGGGCACCCTTTGCCCTTAAGCTTACAGCTCGCCCTGCGCTATTTAAGGAGCCAGTGTTTGGACCAGGTACCTGATTTCATTCATATTTGCAAGATTGATTATACGGTTCAGTCTAATTTAGGTCACAGTCAAAAGCTACATTCAGACTGTCAGTCCAAATCCGATTTGTGTGCATTTAAGATTGAAATCCGGATCAGATTTAGCAATTGTGAACGGCCAAAAATCACATGAAATGTTGAATAGTTTAGAGCTACATTCATATGTGGTAAAAAAATGCAATTCTGGAAATCCGTTTCAGTTTGACTGCTCTGATCGGATTTAACATCAGACGTTGTTATAGGAACATCGCTGCACAAACAGGGTTGTGGTGTTGCTATCATTGCCATAGAAACCAATGCAGATATTACGGAAAATGAAAGAGCGGCATGGACACACAAATCAGATCTGAACAGGTGTGATACACCATGTGGACATCAATAATTTTAAGATCTGTTTACAATCACATACACAAATAATTGGATTTGGACTGATTGTGTGAACGTAGCCTAAGATATTTGCAAAAAAAAAAAAAAAAAATCTTGATGGTCTTGATAGTCCAGTCACTGCTGTGTTTCTAAAGATAGAAAAGCCAAAGTTTACAAATCAAAGTCTTTGTTTTTCTTGCCTGTATGTTAATGTCTTAGTAATCCGACATCAAATGAGATGTATTTGCTTCATTATTCTGAAATCATTATTGCTGTCGCTCATATTTTGGGTTAGGGTTTGAACAAACGTTTTTGCAACGGTCATGAACGATACCTCAAATTGTGCGGTTTGTTAATGTTTTTTTTCCCCAAATAATCAGACATACGATTTTCATCTGGTGGACGAAAAAAAAAGACTGAAAAAAGCCCATAAATTTACAGCGATAAAGACGAAGAACACAACACGCGGATTATGGAGTCAGACACAAACTAGTGCTGCAAACTGATGATTTGCTCTGAGAAAAGACCCGTTTTAAAAAAATAAGATTTACCCGGTGACCTCAACCCATGCCTTGCTCTGATTGGCTGTAGCTCATGACATCACGTGAGGTTGAGTCGTGCGACAGCTCTGGATATCTAGCATGCTAGATATTTTTCTGGGCTCGGCGAGGCGTCTGTGAGCGTCTTTGATGCGTTGTAGCTCTTTCACACTAACAGATTGGCGAGCGTTCATCGCCCAATAATCCCCCGCGATTTGCACACGATAACACCCTGACCTGCTGGCGAGCTCAACGATTTGCAAATCGGGCTTAAAATGATAAAATGATTAAGCCCGTTAGCAACCACCCACAACACCCTAGCCTTACAAGCACCCCTCACATTTTCTTTATAAAAAGTACCATTATTTGCTTTCCTTGTGCTTCAGGTGGGACTTTTCCGCAAATCTGGAGTGAAGTCTCGTATTCAGGCTCTCAGGCAAATGTGCGAAACCTCCCCAGAAAATGTGAACTACGAGGATCAGTCCGCGTATGACGTGGCGGACATGGTCAAACAGTTCTTCAGAGACCTGCCCGAGCCTCTCCTCACGAGCAAAATGGGCGAGACCATCCTCCACATATACCAGTGTAAGCACTTCCTGTCTGTTACCGGCTCATGTGCACAAATGCCACATGCAGTACTTTCAACACTCTTTGTGCTTTCATGCTACCCAGATGTCCCTAAAGAACAACGCTTACAGGCCGTGCAGGCAGCTATCATGCTAATGGCCGACGAAAACCGTGATGTCCTGCAGACGCTGCTGTGCTTCCTAAATGATGTCACTTCCTCTGTTGAGGAGAACCAGATGACCCCCATGAACCTGGCAGTGTGCCTCGCTCCTTCTCTCTTCCACCTCAACATCATGAAGAATGATAACCTGTCGCCGAGGTAGTTCTGTTCTCCTACACATGCGCTCTACTTAGAGAGGGTGAAACTTGGGTTTCGTTATTCTATAGGAGCTATGCGATGATGATATGTGTGCTTTGTCATTAGGACTCCATGGCCCTGAGGTATCGTGAGAAGGCGTGAAGGGTTTTATTAACTCAATGTACAAACAACTCCCACATCATTGTGTCGAGTAATGCTCCCTAATAAACACAGAGCAGACACACTTCCCTGAGGGCCAGAGACAGGAGGTGTGGAGGGCGTTTTAAAAGAGAGATGGGTAGTTTAGCTTTACCTCAGACTCAGACTGGGCGAAGGGGGATGGGGGTGTTAGGACACTTCTTCGTAATGTATTGTGAAATTTATTGTTGTTGTTGAGGATAACCCCTTGAGATGAAACATCTCGTTTTCGAGGGGGTCCTCGAGACAATGTATAAAGTGTACTTAAATGTCCTTGTTACACGTTTCATGGATTTACTATAGTAATAACTATAAATTAGACATAATTACATACTTTTACAAGTAGCCCCAAACCAAACCCTAAGCCTGCACTATAGTAAGTGCATGTAGTTCATTAAAGGGATAGTTCACTTTGAAATTAATTTTTGGTATGTTTTAGCATGTCTTTGTTTCCGCAGTAGTTTCAATTTTTATATTTTTAGGTCAAACTGTTTGTGTCTATCAGTCATATAATGGAGGTCTATGGTCACCACCTCAAAGAGCATGCACAGAGAAGTCCAAATTACAGTGATGTGAATAAGTTTGGACACCCATGCTAAAGTTGCCTAAAAAGAGGAATAAAAAAATCATCTTTTGGATATTGATCTTAATGCCTTAATTAGAAAAATGAGGAAAACTCCAACCTTTAAGGACACACATTTTCTTTGTGAATGAATAATGTATGTATAAATAAATAAATGTTTTTCCTTAAAATACAGGGTGCATAAGTCAGGACAGCCCTATGTTAAATTCCCATAGAGTCAGGCAGATTTTTATTTTTAAAAGCCAGTTATTTCATGGATCCAGGATTATATGCATCCTGATAAAGTTCCCTTGGCCTTTGGAATAAAAATATCCCCACACCTTCACACATAAATGTAAGTACACATTGATGGCCTAAAACACAAAAAGAGCAGTTTGTGTGAGAAAACGAACAGTATTTATATCGTTTTACCTCTTGTAACCACTTGGACGTGGCTGTGGTTAAATCTATATAAATACTGTTCGTTTTCTCTCACAAACCGCTCGTTTCGTGTCTTAGGCCATCAATGTGTACTTACATTTACGAGTCATTAAATCATGTTTAATTTGGACTTCTCTGTGCATGCTCTTTGAGATGGTGACCATAGACCACCATTATATGACTGATAGACACAAACAGTTTGACCTAAAATATCAAAATTGAAACTACTGCAGAAACAAAGACACCTACATCTTGGATGCCCTTGAGGTAAGATAGAACATATCAAAAATTAATTTCAAAGTGAACTTTCCCTTTAATATTACTCAGTGCTTAAATGTATAATTACACTGTGACAGGGACACATCGTTTGTTTAATCGTTTGTTTTATATGCTTACAGCCACAAATATTGTGAAAATATAATGGATCACATGGAAGCTCAAGCACATGATGTCTTTTATTGCATTCAGGTCTATTCAGAGGAAGTACGCCACTGGGCGGCCAGACCAAAAGGACCTGAATGAGAACCTTGCGGCCACTCAGGGGCTTTCGCACATGATTGCTGAGTGCCATCAGCTGTTTGAGGTACCAGACACATGTTCTGTCATATTTGCAATGAGAAGTTGTACGGTACATAAAATTGTGTACAGAACAAGTACAAAATGTTTATACATTACAGCTTGCTTATAAGTTTGGGATCAGTACAAGTTTTTTTTTTTTTATTATTATTAAATACATTTTTTAGGGCTGTGCAAAAATTAATTGCATTTAATCGCCTCCAAAATAAAAGTCTGTGTTTACATAATATATTTGTGTGTGCTGTATATAATTATTTTGCATATATAATTACTTATGCATGCATGTATATATTTAAGAATTATTTGCGCTTGAATTCTATATATATATATATATATATATATATATAAATACATAATCTATATTATATAAATATAAATATTTTATATATGAATAACACATTTTCTTAAATATATACATGCATGTGTGTGTATTTATATATACAAAATAATTATATACAGCACACTTAAATATATTATGTAAACACAGACTTTTATTTTGGATGCCATTAATCGCAATTAATTTGTGCACAGCCCTAAAATGTATACTTTTATTCAAGGATGCATTAAATTTGTGTAAAATGGACAGTAAAAACTGTTCTTTTGAACTTTCTTTTCATCGAATGTTGAAATAAAAGCTGAAAATTCAGCTTTCTCATCACAGAAATAAATTATATTTTTAAATAGATTAAAATAGAAACCGGTTATTTTAAATTGTAATATTATTTCAAGATTTTCTACTGCATTTTTGATTAAATAAATGCAGCCTTGGTGAGTATAAGAGACTTTCAAACACATAAAAAATACTGATCTCTATTTAAAAGAAATGTTAATGTTGGTGGACAAAAGGAGATGCTTCTTTTTGAAATTTAATGTGGTTTGTGCAGATTCCTCAGGAGATGCTCTCTCAGTCCAGGAACTCGTACATGGAAGCTGAGCTGCTGGCGCCCTCTTTGGACGAGCTCTGTAAAAAACAGTCACAACAAGACGAGGAAGAGGAAGAAGAGGAAGAAAGTACATATCACTCTTATCTGGAGAGCCTGATACAGAATTTGATGAAAGAGGCCAAAGACAAGACCAAAGGCTGGGTGGCCAGATCAAATATTGACAATACTGAGCTATCATTCAAAAAGGTAAGAACACATTTTATTTATTCATTCATTCATGTTGCATAGACTCAGGCCTGGCTTAGCCCCCCCCATGATAATGGCTGATTATGTGACTGAGCGCTCATGCAGGGTTTTTTTTACTTTTGTAATAGTACTCTGTAATACTTCCATAAAAATGCTATAAATTAAAAAAAATTAAATATTTAAATATATTTATTAAATTCTCTCTTTAAAATATTGATTACATTTTAGTGAATTAAGAACATCGGATCAACTTTATTTGGACAAATAATGTGAATATTGAAATTATAGACTGATACATGACATGGGAACTTGACGTAGCTCATGGTACATCCTATCCAATACAAAAACCAAAAGCCTATAACATAATTAAAATCTGAGGTGAAGTGTGTTGTCTGGCGCAGGTGGGAGACGGGACCCCGTTGAGACGCTGGCGTGTTTCTGCAGAGGTGGAGGCTCCTCCATCAGTGGTGCTGAACCGAATACTGCGAGAGCGCCACCTGTGGGACAGTAACCTGCTGCAGTGGAAGGTTCTGGAAACTCTGGACAAGCAGACAGAAGTGTACCAGTATGAGCTGAACAGCATGGCCCCTCACCCCAGCAGAGACTTTGTGGTGCTCAGGTGACTACAAAAACATCATCTGATCCTGCTCATGTGATCTAAATCCTCATTTTTTTTAAAGGGATACTCCACCTTTTTGGAATTAGGCTCATTTTACAACTCCCCCAGAGTTTTTGAAGCCATTCAGCCGATCTCCGGTTCTGGCGGTACCACATTTAGCATAGCTTAGCATACATCATTGAAGTGGACAAGACCATTAGCATTTCTCAAAAAAAAAAGACCAAAGTGTTTCGATATTTTCCTATTTAAAACTTGACTCTTCTGAATAAATATAATATATATAAAAAATAAATATTTGTAATTGATTTATTCTTTGAAAATGTTATATTAATTAATGATTTTAGTAAAGTTTGTACACAGTCATAGCCATAAATGCAATGATACTAATAATTGGCATAATTTCTTTCGGTGTTTCGGTTTTCGGTTTTCGGCCTTGGTTTCCTCTTTTTCGGTTTTCGGTTTCGGCCAAGAATTTTCATTTCGGTGCATCCCTACTATTTTCATGGTACGGCAGTAAAGTTTCTTGATCATTACGCAGGAATGAGAGTATAGTTCCTATGCTAATGCTAATGGTCTTGTCCACTTCAATGATGTATGCTAAGCTATGCTAAAAGTGGTACCGCCAGAACCGGAGATCGGCTAAATGGATTCAAAAACGGTAAAACTCAACACTTTAACTCTGGGGGAGTTGTAAAACGAGCCTATTTCCCCAAAAAAGTGGAGTATCCCTTTAACGTATGTGTATTTATAGCAGTAGCACTATACTTTATATTATAGTATCCTATTCTGACTGCCGTTATCAACCTCTTTCTATTTTTTCCCTCTTTTTGAAAGTCGTGAAAACACTATCAGGGAGTTTTTCTTGTTATTTGAGCAAATGGGAACACACAGATGTAATCTCTCATTCACCGCTATATAAGTACACAACTATGACGACATCCGCTTCTGAGAAACCCGGAAATGTGAAAAGGGTTGTTTACTGTTGGATACGTGTGATCCCATTATCAATTGTCTAAATACGAATTACTGATTAAAGCTGTATTAAAGCTTCATTTGAGCATCTGCAGCGAGAGCTTCTTGTGCGTCATTCGGTGCATGTGATTCTCAGAACGCTGAGGTCGTAAAAAGATCTAGCATTGAACGGCTGAACATTCATGGAGTATTACTGAAAGAGACTCACAGAGCACACTTCTGTTACTTCAACATAAAATGCAAATCAGACCAGCCAGGTCATGCCCTGAATATCACTGTAAGATTACAGTTTAACATCATTTGACGAATACGCAGCTGTGAGGTGCAAACCGTAATCTGATCGGAGCAATATATTGCATGTTTTTTTGAGAATTAATCAAATTTGCATTTGGCAGATTACATCTCTAGTGTCGGGAATGTCACTATCAAGAGTGATTTATATTGGTGTTTTCTTTTCTGTTTAGGACGTGGAGGACAGATATGCCAAAAGGAGTGTGTGTACTGGTGTCACTGTCGATCGACCACGAGGAAAGCCCACAGCTGGCCGGAGTGAGAGGGGTCGTTCTGGAATCACAGTATCTGCTTGAACCGTGTGGATCTGGCAAGTCCAGACTCACACACATATGCAGAGTTGATCTGAAGTAAGTGCATTGAAGACACAAGCGTTCATATGTTCGGGGTCAGAAAGATGAATGAATAGAGTTATTCATATTTTATAATGTTATATAATATCAAATAAATACTGTTCTTTTGAACTTTCTATTCATCAAAGAATCTTTCAATAATGTATCAGGGTTTTCACAAAATATTATTCAAAAATTTTAACTGTTTTCAACATTGATAATAATAACTAATGTCCTAATGGGCATATTACATTGATTTCTGAAGGATCATGGATCCTGAAAATCCAGCTTTGCCATCAGAGGAATAAATTACACTTAAAAATATGTTGTATAATGATATTTTTTATGTTGCAGCCTTTCATTAATATATATATATATATATATATATATATATATAGTGAAAGGCTGCAACTCAAAAAGTTTAAATGATATTTATAATAAAATTATATATATATATATATATATATATATATATATTTGGGCTGTCAAACGATTAATCGCATCCAAAATAAAAGTCTGTGTTTATACAATATATGTGGGTGCACTGTGTATAATTATATATATATATATATATATATATATATATATATATAAATATAAATATACACACACACACGTGCATGTATATTTAAGAAAAACATAAAATATTTATATATAATATGATATATAAATCTATATACAGTATATACATGAAAATATTTCTTATATATACAAGCACGTGTGTATATTTATATATATAAAATAATTATACAGAGTACACACATATATTATGTAAACACAAACTTTTATTATGGATGCGATTAATCGTTTGAGAGCCCTAATATATACATATATAACACATGTGATTTGTTCTTTAATAAAACAGACATGGTTGTAATTGTCTTTAAATTGTTTGTTTTATTTAACTTGTTCATTAGAAATTCTACTTTCTCAAAGCATGTAATGAATGCTGTAGATCTCTTAATTGTCCTGAAACACTAAATGCTGTATATTTGCTTGCTGTTCCAGAGGAAAGTCTCCAGAGTGGTACAACAAAGCTTTCGGCCATCTCTGTGCTAGCGAGACCGCTCGCATCCGCAACTCCTTCCAGGTTTTGGATCCCGAGGGTCCAGAGACCAAAATCTGAGCCGGGCTACGTGGAGAGAGGCGTGAGGGACGAACTTAGAGAGATTCACAACAGAAGACAAGAGCAAATGGAAGTGTTATTTGTGTTTCTAGCCCCCCCTAAACAACAACAAACTGCCATGTCCTGTTGGTTTAATAGACTGTGGATCATTGGGATTGGTTTTAGAGTGTTTTACCCCTTATAGGGCATTTAATTTAGTCCGTTTATTTCATATAAATGTATGCAGCTGTTCAAAACTGCCCCTTTTGAAATGGCATTTGTTGTGTGTTTTGGGGCATGTGATTAGAGAAGAGAAAAGATGGACAGAGAGAGTGACAGAGACAGACTCCAGTGTAGCCATAAAGCCATGCCTATAAAAAAAAGTCATAATGCTGCTTCCTGTTGTCCAGTCTTTACCACAGCAGACAGCTTTAACTAGCACCTTCAGAGCTTCGCTTACAACAAACAGATGTGGATGACAAATCAAAACACAGCAGGTCTGGTTTAGTTTTACCAAGCACTTCAAATTTAGGTACCTTACATTATTTAAAACTCTGTATTTAGGTGTTTTATCCTCATTTGAATGAAGCTAGTGTTACAGTGACTATATTTTAAGCTAAGATTGTACCCTGGTGACGTATTGTTGTGAAGTAAGCCCATATTTCTAAAGTTCTGTTGAATAATGTTTTTTATCGTTACTTAAGTCTTTGATTTCATTCACTGTTAAGCAATAATGCATTATCATGATAGATGCACTAGTAATGTGCTCTTCTGACAATGCAATAAAATCAAACAAAGTTGTAAATAATATAGGCAATGCTAATGATTGTTGCAATTACGGTATGGATTATTATTATTATTGCTGTCATATTTTGTTATATGTTGCTGTGTCACACTCTACAATGTCTGGGACATGAATTCATTTCACTGCTTCTGAGAAGCATGTCTATTTTATTCACAAAGCTGTACATTTGTGTGTGTTTATGTATAAATGTGTAGATACAATTCCGGTTGTAAATTTTGTACAAAAATGAGGCTTATTGGCAGGTTTATCTGCATTTATGCTCAGTTATTTTCCTCATCGTATCAATATTTTGCTTGAAATATCATTGCAAGCTGGTTTAATCAGCTGGCTTGTTCAGTGATGTTTTGATGGGAACTGTGTGTTAGGGTTTGACTTGAGCTCAGTGACAGGAGGAGGTGATATGTTGTGGCTCCAAAGGTAGTTTTTGAACAGTTAACAGGGTGGGTGAAGTTCCAATCATTTGGAAATGTGAAAAATAAAACCTCAATACATATTTTGTTTGAATTTGTTTTTTTTTTTTTTTTGTATTCTCTGATTTTTTCCTGCCTTGTTGGTCAGTCCAATAGTCGTGTCCTAAATATAGCGTAACTTTCTCAAAACATTGTAATGTAAATCAACAATGGGATCTAACTCAATCACTTCCAAAGAATCTCACAGGCTGAACATGGTTAACCACTAGAGGGCAGTGTGGATGCACCACAGTCGCATTGGAGGCTTGGCGTCGTGTATGCAGGTACGTTTGGATACTAACAAACTTGGAAATTTAGAGGTCAACGAACTATTCAAATGTTAGTAACATTGCCAGTAAGTAGTTGTGATTGTGTTTTCTCTTGGGTCTGCAGAACCCGAGAGAGTCTCAAGGGAACTATTGATCCACGCCATTTGAATAACACGTCTACACAGAATTATGGAAGACCGAGGACACTCGCTGCGGGCCATACATCATCATTAGGGAGCAAAAAGGTAGTGGCGTGTCTTTATACAAAAGAAGGTCAGATTTCATAAACATTGTCGACCAGCTAGTGATTTCAGGTGGTCCGGGCTTATTAAGTTTCTCAACTCAAATTTGATTGGACTAAGAACTATAAGTATGCTACTTGTCTACTAACTACGTAGTACAATCAAGTAAAATGTCCAAGTACGCAGTTTTTATAAGACACGGTAGCTGAGGTAAAGCTTAAAATGTAGAAAACGACACAACTGTGAAAATAACTTGTTCCTCGTGTTTTATTTGTACGTTTAACAATATCTATACACATGACGTCATCGTCAAGGAACACATCTTTTTTTATCGCTTTTTTTAAATAAAAATAATTAACACTTTTATTCAGCGATGAAACGTTAAAAATGTGTGCGAAAAGACATTTACGAAAATGTACCACGGTTTTGCTACAAATAAAAAAAAACATAATTATTTTAACGTTAATCCATGGTAACTACAAATTAACCAATGTTTTGCTACACTAACCACAGATTAACCATGGTATTTTTTTTTTTTTTTAATAAAACTATGGTTATACAAATGGTACTCAATCTGCCAACAAACTGTGGTTAACTACACTTTTACTATAATAAAACCATGTTAATTTTCGTGTATTTAGTGGTCCTTTCAAAAGACATACTTTTCTAAATATTTTGAGTGAAATTGGATTAAATATTTGATAAAATGTCCATTAAATTAGAGCATTTTTGCGAAAGTCGCGCTTGTCATCATTAATTTGTATAATATCAGACATCCCCCACCCTGCTTTCCATGTCTGCATTTTAAAATCCCATATGAATCAACGGCATGATACAGCACTGATGGTGACCATATCATTTTATGACACCTTCATGCTGTCCAGACTTGTTTTTTTTTAGTTAACATCTGACTAAATCTATCACTGTTTCAAAGATTCAGTGCAGATATGCACACCGCCTCAGAGGAAGCCTGGCAGATTGAATTCCAAAAAACAAAAAGCAATCATTTTCTATAGCTCGGACAAATCCTAGCACAGCAATAAGGTCATTAATAAATAAAATATCAAATACGTGAATTATTGATGATTGTGTTTGAGTGTGTGTGTGTGTGTGTGAGAGAGAGAGACAGAGAGATGGGTGTTTTTGCTCTTTGGAGAGGATAATGTCTGGTTTGGCCTTTCAACAAAGCAAAACGTGCAAAACATTCCATAAACAGATCTATAGCTTCAATCAGATGCCTTGATTAGACATAATTCTTCTGGGAATAATTCAGGCCAGCAATTAACAATATGGAGCTACAACCCTCAGCTAATTACTGTCTTTCTATCAGACTCCTTTGGAGGAGGATTTTTTTTAAAGAGAGAGAACCTTCCAGAGACATGACCTGACTCACTTCCCCTCCTGTCCTGTTTATTTCTGCTTCTCATGCTTTTAGAGTTGACAGAGTGTCAATTTGGTGGCTGTATATGGTCCTAATGTAGATGTAAATGCAGAGAGAGAGAATCAAAGATGCATACACCTAGAGAAAAGCCCCTGAAAGATGAAAAAAAGAGAAATTCAGTTGCCTTGGCTACCATTTTGTTCATGTCACTGACTTCCTCACTATCTCCTGGCCCCGCTAGCACTCTCGTCTATCGTCGTTTCTTCTTTCCTTTTGTTTCTTCTTCCATTTCCCACACAATACACTGGCTATCTGGATGACAGGATTGCAGGGGAGCTCAGCGTCGGATAAAAAACACTGAATCATTTTTTCTTTATCACTCTATTATCGTTTTCTCTTTCAATCCTAAACCACACAACCTTTTCTTGTTTAGTTGTTCTTATATACTACTATATTATTTACTTATGTTATATATATATATATGAAGAGTTCAGATGCAAAAGCCTCTAAGTGCCATTTGAAATTTTCTTCTAAAATGATCATTTTTATCAAGCTTGTATATTTAACTTCAGTAATTTCACTTAAATGGCAATGAAGATTACCTATTAATTGCCATTTAAGTGAAATCACTGAACTTAAATATACAAGCTTGATAAAAATGGTCATTTTAGAAGAAAATTTCAAATGGCATTTAGAGGCTTTTGCATCTGAACTCTTCATATATACATTATAGGATGCTTTTATCAAATTAAGTCTGAAAAAGTCAATTCAATCTGGATTGTTCAAGTATTTTTAGGGCCCAAGCCCTGAAAGGGCGAAGGCCCTATTGTTTTCCTTAGGATTATTAGGGCCCAAGCCCTGAAAGGGCGAAGGCCCTATTGTTTTCCTTGGGATTATTATTCTTCTTTAGTATTATTATTATTTTGCTACCTTTTGGGCACTTTTGGGGCCCTTAACGTGCTCGAAAACTCTTGAAACTTTGCACACGGGTCAGAACCCGCGGCCATCAGAGCCGGGCTGAAGATGGTACCCGGGCGTGGCAGGGCAGCTCGTCAGCGCCCCCTGGAACGGGGTCCGAACACTTGGTCCATAACTCAAACACGCTTGTATGTAATAATATGAAACTCGGTACACATGTTGATCTCATCGTTTCATCTATACCTCGCGCTCTTACTTTTTACCCCAGCCCAACAGGAATTTGGCTATTGAGGTTTGTTTGTAAAACGCTCGCAATGGAATGTCAAATACTCCTCCTAGAGCTTTGATCCACATTCGACGAAACTCGGTCAGCGTGAAGTCAAGACATTGAGGATGAAAGTTTGCGAGGGGATTTTTGATATCTCGAACGGTTTGTCCGTGGCGAGGAAACGAAATCATGGCGAGAAACGTGAAACAGGAAGTGTGTTATAACTTCAGCATACATTAACTGATCTTGATGAAACTTCAGCAGTGTGTTCGCTGTAAGAGGACGATCACATGGATGTGACTATTGTGAGTCAAAGTTATAGCGCCACCAACTGGCAGCAGGAAGTGTGTCACTTTCAAAATGCTTAGATATCACCCTTTTATTTTTACCCGATTTGCTTCAAACTTCATATGTATAATGTAAACATACGGCAGATGTAGACCTGTGAATGGATTCTTGATATCTTTGAAACTGTTGCCGTGGCGACGCATCAAACTTTACCCTTCTTTTAGGATGCTTTTAGGATGCTTTTGAGACCCTTAGCATGCTTCAAATTGCATGAAACTCGACAGACACATCACATTTATTAGCCAGTAGACATGTGCAAAGTTTCAGAAACGGGCGTGGTGAGGGCTCAGTAGCGCCACCTTTTGACAAAAGTGGGGTGGTTAGTTTTAACTAGAGTTACAAAAATTGGTATGTATATTGTACTCCTCGAGCCGGACAACTTTCTAATTGACACTTATTAGCTAGGACCCACAGAAAGTCAGATATTTTTGTTTGAATATGGCCACTCTGAGCCTACATGTCTCTGTGTCTCTGTGTCTTTGGCTGGCTGGCTGGCTGTCTGTGTGTGTGTGTGTGTGCAGGGGGAGGGGGCTTAACCATTTCACTGCTGTGTGTATGACCTGCATAAAGAAAATACATTTCTCAAGCCTGGTATTTTTTAAATAAGTTTTTATTTTTATTTTTTATAAGTAAAGGCATATAACTAGTTTAATTGTAGTGAATTGACAATAGTTTTATATAATTAGTTTATTAATCAGATTAACTTGGTCAATAAACTTGGTCTGAAAATTTGGTCCATAAATCAAACACACTTGCATGTAATAATATGAAACTTGGTACACATATAGATCTCATCGTTTCATATATACTTCACACTCTTACTTTTTACCCCAGCCCAACAGGAAGTTGGCTATTTAGGGTTGTGTTTAAAACACATGCAATGTAATTTAAATTATTGCTCCTAGAGCACTGAACCAAATTCGACGAAACTCGATCAGCGTGAAGTCAAGACATTAAGGATGAAAAAGTGCCACGGGATTTTTGATATCTCGAACGGTTTGGCCGTGGCGAGGAAACGAAATTATGGCGAGAAACATGGAACAGGATGTGTGTTATAACTTCAGCATACATTAACTGATCTTGATGAAACTTCAGCAGTGTTTTCGCTGTAAGAGACCGATCACATGGATGTGACTATTGTGAGTCAAAGTTATAGCGCCACCAACTGGCAGCAGGAAGTGTGTCACTTTCAAAATGCTTTGAAATCACTCTCTTATTTTTAACCGATTTGCTTCAAACTTCATCTGTATAATGTAAATACACGGCAGATGTAGACCTGTGAATGAATTTTTGATATCTTTGATACTGTTGCCGTGGCAACGAAACAAACTTTAACAT